CTAGGCCAGAGCAGTAGACGTAGGGCAAAGCCCATCAGGAATGAGCCTCAACAAGGGACAATTTACAGGTACCGGACTGGGCTCCACAAGTGGCTAGGCTGGATCAAGTGGGGTCGGAGCCCACGGAGGAAGAGGCAGCGGTCAAGAGGAAAGCAGGCTGGTCAATGGCGGATTGGGGTGGGTTCCGCCACTTGGCCTGGGCAGTACATCTGGGCTGCCAACAGGGGCGACTGGAATGAGTCTGGGCCTCAACTGGGGCCAGATGCTGAGCGGGAGAGTCGGGCCCGGGGCCGTCTGGGCCTGGTCAACACGCACAAAGCACATCCCGGCTGGGAGTGGACCTGCCGCGAGCGGGCTTGGAGCAAACTGCAGGCGCCAGTCAGGCCGCCGACTGGGCCACCGTCTGAGGCCCTTGGGCTGTGGGGAAGCGCCAGAATTTGGAGAGGCGAATATAGGACCGAGTGGCGGAAAGGATGAGAAGGCAAGGTGGTTCAAACCTAAACTGGCCCAACTCGAATTTCCCAAATACAAGGGCAATGAGGATCCATCCGGATGGTTAGCAAGGGTGGAACAATTTTTTCGATTCCAGGAAACACCAGAGGAGCACAAGGTGGCTCTCGCGTCATACCACATGGAGGGAGATGCAAATCAATGGTGGCAGTGTTGGATCGCACATATGCCACATCGGGGCTGCCGATCACGTGGGCGAGGTTTAGGGAGGAGCTATGGGCTTGATTTGGCCCAGCAGAGAGAGCATCTCGCCAAAATTAAACAGACTGGATCGTCAAGCGACTATTTATTGGCATTTGAAAAGCTGGGCAATCGCTGTTTTAGGTGGATCGAAGAAGCTATGGTGGGATCATTTATTGGAGGGCTAAAACCAGAGATATCTGATGCTATAAGGATGTTCCGACCAGAAACTGTGCGAGCAGCAATCCGCCTCGCTAAGGTGAAGAATGAGGAGCTCACCAAACATCGCCCGATGATGCGAAATGCGCCACGACCAGAAGCGGGGCCACCAACAGCGACATCATCATCGTCTGTGCCACCTCGTCAACGTGCAGCACGCCGAATGTTGCCAGAAGAATTCGCTCGACGTCGCGCGCAAGGATTATGCTTCCATTGCGATGAGCGCTTCACCATTGGTCATCGTTGCGCCAATAACAACGTCCTTCTTATGATTGGCGCATGCGGTGAAGGCGAGGAGGGCACTTTCATCGAGGAGGAAGACCAACCTTGAGGGCAAGGTTGTGCTCAAGGAGGGAGGGATGTTACGAGATCGGGCCATCGTAGCATTTCGTAGGAGACTGGGCTTGTGTATCTTTAGTATTTTATTATTATTACATTATTGGGCTTTTATTATTATATTGTCGTTATTAATGTTTTCCTTGTTCGTATGGGATTGTGTTATTTGTTGGTAATATCCTTAGAGGTTTAGGAGTCATAATCTAGATAGGTAAAGGTAGAGGTTTTGTGCTTATAAATATGTACTTGTTTCGTTCGTTAATGATAAGAAGATTAGAACCCAAACCTTTAGCTTTTGTTTGTTATTTGCTATTTCCTTAGTTATTTCCTTTGAGAGTTCTTGCGTTTTATTATTTTTACGAGAAAATCCTAAAAACGCCATCCCCTACGTCACATCACCGTAATAGCTACCAGACAAGTGACTCTTTATCTTCATGTTATGCCGCCCTTCTTGGCTGGCTCTCTCATGTGTAATGTCTCTAGATGGTTTTATGTGTGTATGCGGCAACCTTTGCCCTATTTATACATGTTTGGAGGAGTACATGCACTTCCTCTAATGGAGACTTTCCATTCCTTTGCTGTATATGGAATGGATTGGCTTGTCCATTCCTAGAAGAACAAATTCCCACAGTTGACCATACTATATACTATGAGATCCACGATTTGGTTGTTTCTATTTCTTTCCCATAACTCTGCAACTGATCTGGATGGCAACTTCAGGCTTTCATTTGAAGCTTTGAGAGCATGTAAATGGTCAACTACCAAGTCTCTCTTGTGCAAGGGCAGGTGCTTTTGTTACTTGTTAGCTAATGGAACATATATCTACATCACCTTTTAAGGAATAGCAACTTCAGAATTTTTGTTAGGGAAATTAAAAAATTTATACGAGAGATCCGTCTTGCAACGACAAACCCTGACCCCTATAGACACCTGGCAAATCCTGGGAGGGTTTAATACGAGCTTATAACCATGCCGGTGGCCACCAAAGGAGTAACGCAGAAGTGGCGGCTGGCACGAATCGAACCCAGGTCTCCTGGACACAATCCTGCACATTTACCACCTCCACCCCCTTGGAAATAATTTGACCTAACGACATGGAAAAACCCCGTTCTAAACGAATAAGTAAACATTGTAGAAATTCAGAGTAACAATTGGATGAAGATGTAGTTGGAAGATTAGTGGGATGAACTTTACCGAGAGGGTGTTCTCGTTGGAACGAGGAAAGAAGAACAAAATCCAAAAAAAATAAAGAAATGAAATCTTGACCAAGGTGATCAAACATTCTGGTAAGTGTAATTCCATCTTAGATATTCCACATTCGGTCACAGACCAAATTGCTTCCTTTGGTCAACAAATTCATGAAGAATACGTCTCGGTTGAAGGTTGCCAAAATTGAAAGTGGGAAGAAAATTTTATACCGATGACACTAGTAGAAACAGAATCATTCCAAAGGTAATCACCATCCCCTGTTTACCATGTTGCAAAAAACAGAGTAACAGAGTCCAAACTTATTCTATTTACAGTAATGTCACTGTTGAGAGAGGTTATATAGTGGATTTTATACCACACACTAACACGTTGAAGTTTGTACAGGTCGGAATACCGTGTGCTTAACAAATGGTGGTCATAATGATTCAAACACAAGGCCTCTCGATCACAGAAGGCTCTGATAGTGATACCATGTCTAGAACCAGTTGGTCCTAATAACTCGAGTTGTTGAGAGATGTTCCATAGTGGATCTTATACCACACACTAACAAAGTTATCAAGAAGTTTTTTGTTAGTCAGGGTGAATTTCTATTAGAGAAAAAGGAGCAATGATGCAGTGGTGGAGAGTGATTTGGAGTAAGTATCCATTGCCTAGGTATAGATATCTTGCATGACATATTACATTGAATAGTATAACCACTCGTGATAAACTAAAGGATTGGGGAAGATTGTCGATGCTTCATGTGTGCTTTGTAATAGTGCAAGTGAGAGCAGAAATTATTTGTTTTGTGCTTGTCAGTATACTCTGCAGTTCTATGATGCAGTCTTTGGCCGAGAAGTGCAACTATGGCCTTGGAATTTAGAGGGATTTCTGAGCAAAACGTGTGCTAAGTGAAGAAGAGTGGCATTTATGGAAGAGATTTTACTGCAATTTGGTGCTGGGTTTGAGTCTTCTCTGGAAGGAACGTTGCAAATGTGTTTTTGGTGATTGTCATAGTGATTAGCCAGCTCTATTTGCCCAGTTTAAGCAGGATTTTTGTTGTTGTTTTTCATTAGGTCAAAATGTATTTAGAGAGGAGGTACAATGTCTACCATCCTTTAGAGGTTTATTGTAGTAGTAATTAGACCTGATGTGATCTTATTTGTGTGCTCGGTCCACCTTTTTTCGGATGTGCGATCGGTTTGATCAAGAGAGCTTAATAGAAAGTGATAATTATCAGGGAGGAAAATATGCGGTCGCTGTGGCGTTGGCGTCGGTGGAGAAGAAAATCCAAAACTCTCTCACAAACGCCTCCCTAGTCGTGGTCTCGCAGCAGAGATTCGTCATAACTCCGGCCACGATCACTTCTTGGACGCCCAACTCCTTCAATTTCTCCTACAACCTGTTTTCGCAAGGCGTTATAGCCTAGGTGCTCTTCTCGATGATGACCTCGGCTTTGCATTCGACAAATTATTTTCTACTCTATTTTCGCATAACTCATCACCTAAACTTTATTGTCAATATTATTTCATTATTCTTTTATTCCTTAATTTTTCATGACTTATCATGTTACACTATTCCTCGAATTATTTCCCTACTTTTATCTTACTCTCAACATCAATACTGAGGAGGCCTAATGAAATAACTAAATATATAAAATTATCAATTTTCATGATTACTCATAATTATCAACTAAACATGTTTCTTTTTTTTTTCCCTCATTTTCATGGTGTTTTGCTTGTATCTCTGTTGTCACAGAAGGAATTTTACAATGCTATATAGCATTGGTGCTATAGGTTTTTGCCTTTATGGTACAACTTTAAATTGTACATTTAATGCTATGGTACAACTTCAGATTGTACCTATACTTTTTGTACAAATTCTGTTATGGTGTAACTTAAACTTGTACCTTATGTGATGGTACAACTTCAAGTTGTAAAGTTGTACCATAATATAATGATACAAATTATTTTATGGTACAACCTAAACTTATACATTTAATATTATGGTACACCTTCAAGTTGTACATTAAAGCACCAATGCTATATAGTATAGTAGAAGTGCACAACAAAATTAGGGAGTTGCTAAATGACGTCCTTAAAATTACTCTTAGTCGTCCTAAATCAAATAAATTTACCTATTTGTCCAATTACCAATTTTAAATTATATTCTAAATCAAACATGCCACTAGAATCTAAACATTTTTTCTCTTCCCTCTCGATTCACTCTCCTAAGTCCTAAGGACAAATCCAACTTCCTCTCCCCTGCTATGGAGAATTTGCTAGGGTAAATTGGCAAAACCCTCAAATCTGCAGGGGCTGCTCTGTTGCAGTATATATATCAGCTGAAGAAATCAGCTTAGTTCAGATTGCCACTTGGCAATCAACAATTGGCCTATTACAAACCAAATCACTGTTTAATAACGGCTAATAGAACTTTAGGTAAAACGACAGAGTTTCAGCAAACAGAAATTTAAGTAGTAATAAAACGTCTGCGTATTTGATCCTTCTCCTTCTTCACTTCGCTTCAGTCTTCCAATCCTTACAGCATTAGGATTCCAGGTCAGTTCACACCCCCTTCAAGTTGTGAGTGCTCTTCTTGACTCCCAACTTGTCCAGTAGCTCATTCAGTCGAATCCTGTGCAAACTCTTGGTAAAAATATCAACAAGTTGATTGATTGTACTCACATGGAATAATTTGATCAAACCAGTCTTCAGTCTCTCTCTTGTAACATGCATATCGATCTCTATGTGCTTGGTCCTTTCATGGAACACAGGGTTCTCGGCAATATGGATTGCAGATTTGTTATCACAGTACACAGCAACAGGAAGAGGTATCTTGACACCCATTTCTCCCAACAGCACCCTTAGCCAATCAATTTCACAAACCAGTAGAGCTAGTGCTCTTTATTCTGCTTCAGATGATGATCTGGAAACTGTTGTTTGCTTCTTTGTTTTCCAGGTCAGAAGAGAACTCCCAAGGAAAGTGCAGTACCCTGTTGTTGATCTTCTGGTGTCATGGCAGCTGGCCCAGTCTGAGTCACAGAACCCCACAAGCTTCAAGTCTGCCTTACTGCTGTAGCAGATACCTTGGTCTGGACAGGATTTGAGATATCTTAGTACTCTGTAGGCTGCTTGTAAGTGTCCTAAGTAGGGCTTCTTCTGAAATTGGCATAACTGTTGTACAGAATATGTCAAGTCAGGTCTTGTTATGGTTATGTAATGAAGCCTCCCAATCAATCTTCTGTATTGTTCTGGATCTTCAAGTAAAGTTCCTTCTGTTGCTGTTAGCTTGATATTTGGGTCTGATGGTGACTGGCATCCTTTGGCATTTAAGTATCCTGTATCAGCAAGCAAGTCCATACAATACTTCCTTTGACAGACCATCAACCCTTTTGCTGTCCTGTTTACTTCCAGTCCCAAGAAATACCTTAAAGGTCCAAGCAACTTAATCTTAAATTCCTTACTCAAAGAGCTCTTAACCTGGTCAATGTCCTTCTGAGCATCACCAGCTAGGATAATATCATCCACATAGACAAGTAGTACAACAATTCTTCCATGAACCCACTTAGTAAACATGGAACAGTCTGAGGATGATTGATAAAACCCATTTCTCAACAGAAAACCAGTTAACTTGGCAAACCATTGCCTTGAGGCCTGTTTAAGACCATATAGTGACTTCTTTAGCTTGCAGGGCATCCTCTTAGGACTTCCCGGTGGTAATTCAATTCCAGGGGGCACATGCATATATACATCCTCATGTAGATCCCCATTTAGGAAAGCATTGGATACATCCAATTGCTCTAGGGTCCAGTTCTTAACTGCTGCTATGGCTAATAAGGCCTTCATTGAGTTGATTTTGGCCACTGGGGAGAAAGTGTCCAAAAAATCTATCCCATATATTTGTGTGAACCCCTTAGCCACCAACCTTGCTTTGTATCTTTCAATTGTCCCATCCTGTTTCAATTTCAGTTTAAACACCCACTTACAACCAACTATGTGTTTGTCTGGTGGTGCCTCTACTATTTCCTAGGTCTGGTTTGCTTCTAGAGCATGTATTTCCTCTATGACAGCTCTATTCCATTCAATGGACTTGACTGCCTCATGATATGAGGTTGGTTCCTCATGCTTCAACACACTCAAAGCATAGATTCTATCTTGTTCATTCAAGCATTCAACATTCAGACAGAGAGAGTGCTTACTTGCATTTGCTGCTGTTCCAAAAGCTCCAAATGTTAATTGAGGATCCAGTTCACATTCATTGAGTTTAGCAGGTAACACTGGTTGCCTCTGTGATCTTCTTGGTGGAGGAGGTTCAAAGTCAACTTGTGGAAGTAGTTCACAATCCTGTTCAGGTGGAACATCAGTGTCATTTGCTGGAGTAGCATCTTTACTTGGACTATAGTCATCATTCCCCCTTGCAGCTGAGGCCTGATCAAAGGATACAAGTGCAGAAGAAGTAGGAAGAGAAGATGCTGGGACCAAGATGGGAGGAGCTGATGTTGTAGACTGAACAGGTGGTGAAGTAGAGGAAGAAGGAGGTGAGTCTGAAGTTGCAGACTCTGTACAGTCTCGAAAGGGAAGAATTGTTTCATAAAAGACAACATCCCTTGATAAGAAGACCTTCCTATCTTCTAAGTCAAGTAACTTATACCCTTTAACTCCAGCAGGGATTCCAAGAAAAACACACTGTCTTGCCCTTGGTGCAAACTTGGTCCTGTTATGCCCAAGAGTACTTGCATAACACAGACTACCAAAAACCTTAAGGTTACCAAGAAAAGGTTGATGGTTATAGAGCACCTCAAATGGGGATTTGCCAGACAGAATGGGAGTTGGCATCCTGTTGATCAAGTACACTGCATGAAGAATGCAGTCATTCCAAAAGGTAAGTGGTAAACCTGACTGGAACCTAAGAGACCTAGCCACATTCAATATGTGCTGGTGCTTTCGTTCAACCCTGGCATTTTGTTCAGGAGTCTCTACACAGGACATCTGGTGTTCTATCCCTTTCTCCATGAAGAATTCCTTCATATGGAATTCCTGTCCTTGGTCACTTCTAATAGTTTTAACAGTGGTATTGAATTGATTATGAACCAAGGCACAAAAACCCTTTAGCAATTCTCTTGTCTCATGTTTGTGTTTCATTAGGTAAACCCACACTGCCCTTGTATGATCATCTACTATTGTAAGAAAGTAAGAATGACCATCATATGACTGAACAGACAAAGGTCCCCAAATATCAACATGGACCAAGTCAAAAGCATTCTTTGCAATACTGGTACTGATGGGAAAAGGAAGTCTTTTGTGTTTTGAGAAGTGACATACATCACAGTGTAGAATCTTAGAACTAGTTACAGTAGAATTAGATTTCTGCAACATGGAAATTCTATCACTACTAGCATGTCCTAATCTCCAATACCAAAGATCAAACTGCAAAGGATGGAAATTGAAGGTGGTGGCTGCTTGGTGGTCAGGTTGCTGGTCTTTGGTTGTAGATGGAAAGGTGAGGTGGTAAAGTCCTCTATGCTTTCTTGCTAAACCAATCATCTTCAAGCTTAACTGGTCCTGAAGGTGACAGAGATTGGAGTGAAAGTGTAAGACTAATGGACAGTCATTGGTAAGCTTACTTACTGAGATAAGATTGAAAGAAAAGCTAGGGACAAAAAGAACATTATGAAGTATCAAGCCTGTGGGTAGTCTAACTGTACCAATGTGAGTAACCAGAACCCTAGTAGTATTAGGCAGGTTTATAAAGACATCTTGAACTGGTTTGTGCTCTATAAATAAAGCTAGTGTGCAAGAAATATGATCTGAGGCACCTGTGTCTAAGATCCAAAGGTTTGAAGCATTGGTTTAGTTAAACTGACTTGAGGTAGACAGGCTATATTTACCTGAATAAGTGGGATAGGGTGGTGGAATTTGAGTTACTGAGTAGGCATGATGAGGTAAAGATGGTGAGGTTGGAGGTGAAGGAAAGCTACCAGTACCAGATTGCATCATGCTTCTTAGCTTGTTCATCTCTTCTGGTGTAAAACCAACCACTGTCTTAGAAGAACTTACTGGGCTACCTCCTGGAGTATCAGTTGAACTAGAGTAGCTCACTTCTGTAGTTGAGTCATTGGAACCTTCTTGTGACACTGATCCCACAAAGCTGGAAGCATTGCCCAGTGATCCTCATGTTCCTCCTCCATTCTGCATTTCTCTCTTCTTCTTAGCCCTCCAGCATTGTTCAACATTGTGGTTTGTTCTCTTGCAATAGATACAGAACTTCTTTCCTTGTCCTCTTGGTTTTTCATCTTCCTCAGCCTCAACAGCTAGAGCCACACTTTGAGCTCTTCTTCCACCATGAGATTCTACTCTCAATTTCTGCTCATACTGGAGTAGATCATCTACTGCTTCAGATACAGTAGGCAATGGTTTACGAGAAAGTAATTGACTCTTAACAATCTCATAATCTGGATGTAAGCCCCTGAGAAACCTGATAAGATAATCAGTTTCCTGCCTTTCAGTATAGGCCACAACAGCATCACATGGATTTATGTTTCCAGGTGCACAATTACATGGCACTATGGGACTAAATTGTGCCAGTTCCTCCCAGATTCCCTTGATCTCATTGTGGTACTGATTGATGCTGCGATTCCCTTGCTTGCACTTATGGATGTCATCTTCCAGATTAGTAATTCGTATGGCATTAGGTTTCCCATGCCTTCTTTTCAACTCATCCCACAGTACTTTAGCACTAACATGGTTCATCACAGAACGTCTGAGATCCTTATGAAGAGAATTCAAAATCCATGATAACACAGCTGTGTTACATCCATCCCATAACAGAAAAGTATCATCCGTCACTGGAGGCATTGGTATGCTTCCATCGATGAAACCCACTTTGTGTTTCATCTTCAAACCCATTATCACAGATCTACTCCACATGATATAATTTGTCACATCAAACACCTCTGAACCTATAGATTGGTTCAATGCTTCATTAGGGTTTAAGTAGAATGGGTTACCGAAGGTTATCACCTCAGATCTGGTAGTGTTTTATTGTTGTTGCTCCTGCTGCTGATCAGTGTAGGTACCGAACTGGAAACCTCGAACAGTGGAACCAGTTGCGCCTGAAAGTGGTGATCCGCTTGCAGCTTCCTTCCCATGGTTCGTCGGCTGCGGTGTGGTAGACATCGTAACCCTAGATGCGTTTCCTCTCTGATACCATATGGAGAATTTGCTAGGGTAAATTGGCAAAACCCTCAAATCTGCAGGGGCTGCTCTGTTGCAGTATATATATATCAGCTGAAGAAATCAGCTTAGTTCAGATTGCCACTTGGCAATCAACAATTGGCCTATTACAAACCAAATCATGATCACTGTTTAATAACGGCTAATAGAACTTTAGGTAAAACGACAGAGTTTCAGCAAACAGAAATTTAAGTAGTAATAAAACGTCTGCGTATTTGATCCTTCTCCTTCTTCACTTCGCTTCAGTCTTCCAATCCTTACAGCATCAGGATTCCAGGTCAGTTCGCACTTGCATTGCCCAAACCGACAAATCCATCTTATTTCCCTCTCCCCTGCATTCTCGAGAAACTCCCAAAGGCCCACCTCTTCGACCCGTGCCTCTGACACACATCTCGTTGGTGGGTTTGCACAGACCGGCCACTCCTCGAACTCTGTTTCCCCCCGCCGGCCTCTGTTTCTCCCAAGCCATGAACCTCGCCTGTCAAACCCAGAAGTAACGACACCCTACCTCTCTCGCCGGCGTGTCTGCCCACCCCTCTCGTCGACGGCTGCGCTACTTATTCCCGCCACAGCCTTCCCGGTCGCCGCCATCACCTCTGCCCCTGCATTGCCGGAGAAGACGTAGAGCCGGATAATGTGCATTCTCATTCGCCGTGCCACACTTGTTGTCGGAGAAGAAGCTCGACGACGACTCCGTTCCTGCGTTCTTTCTTCCTCCCGTCCCAGCCGTCACAGCTCTCTGTTGTTGCCTCAACCATTGTCAGCGGTTCGCCGCCACTTTCAAAGCAGGAGAACACCAGTGGAGAAGGTAAGACAGAGCTCAGTCAAACGTCGGTCTCGCGTGGCCAAACGAAATATTGTCAGCGTTTGATCCTATGGACAAACCATTGTGGACTTGTGTTTGACCGGAAGGCAAAGCATTCTAGTATTGTGTTTGACCCCGTGGTCTTAAACACCTGCGGTCAAACGAAGCAAAAACTGGATTTGACCCCTGCTGAACCGCAAATTAATTTGGTTTGAGCCGCTGGTCAAATAAGCTCAATCCAAATTTTTACCGTTGGTCAAACAAGGACATTCCAATGTTCTGCCCCGGTATAACCTCAAAACTCAATTCGTTCAACCATTTAAGACTAACCTTCTCCGGTAGCAAAAAAATTCGGCAACCAGGTCTTCTTCACCTTCGCTTGGCTGAAAACAAATCAAAGCTTCCACCTTTCAGAGCATAGACTACCAGCGAAACTCAATCGAATCCATCATCCCTTCTAACTCACCTTCTTTGTCGATTTCATCTTCTTCCTAGTCAGCTAGGCTGGAACAGAGTAGAGCGAGGCAGAGGGAACGTGTGGCCTTCGATTTAAACTTTCTTCGTCGTCGGCTGGGTTGGAAGTTGGAACAAAGCATGAGCTTCAGTTGTCAGCGGAGGTAGTGGCTTAGCAAAGGGGAAGTGTTGCCGTCGACTTCGCCGAGGTTGTCGTTGGTGGGGTGTGTACTGGACAGAGGTGGTTGGGTCGGAGGTAGAGGGGAAGTCGTGGGGGAAGAGAGAATTTGCTTCAATTTTCTCGCGCTTCGTCGCCGGCGAGATGTGTGCAGAGAGGTGACTTGCCGAAGCAGGTGAGAGGCAGAGTGGCGGCCGGCAGCTTGCTGTGTGCGGGACAGGTTGGAGGCGGAAGGTCTGGAGGTAGAGGCAAGGTAAGAGGGTAAGTGGAAGGGTTTCGTTCAGAGAAGAGAGAGGGACGAGGGAGGACTAAGGTTATTTGGTGGGTTTTGGTTTTCTAATATAAGTTGGATATTTAGGGAGCACTTCTACTATGCTATATAGTATTGGTGCTTTAATGTACAACTTAAAGTTGTACCATAACATTAAATGTATAAGTTTAGGTTGTACCATAAAGCAATTTGTACCATTATGTTATGGTACAACTTTATAACTTGAAGCAAGTTCAAGTTGTACTATAAAAGAATTTGTACACAAAGTATAGGTACAATCTGAAGTTGTACCATAACGTAAATGTACAATTTTAAGTTGTACCATAAAGACAAAACCCTATAACACCAATACTATATAGCATTGTAAAATTTCTCGATATTTAGGTCATTTACATAGTTAACTTAGGACGACGAATAGTAATTTAAGGACGACATTTAGCATTTCAGCAAAATTATACTAAACCGAGCCGAAAACATTGGTGGAGGTGTAGGTTTAGGGCCCGAAAGGCTGTCCATAGTAGTTTCGGTGGTGGACCATTGGTTTATATCCGGCCCGCTCGGTGCTTATGAAACAACGCCACATCCACGACCGAGACCGACGCTCCTTCCGATTTCTAGGGATTTCAATTTCAGGGAAGATCAAATTACTGGAGAGGAAGAGCACAGAGTAAGCAGAAGCTGCCGGCGCGATGTCCTACTTGCTGCCGCATTTGCACTCTGGATGGGCCGTCGATCAGGCCATCCTCGCCGAGGAAGAGCGCCTCGTCGTCATCCGATTCGGCCACGATTGGGATGAGACCTGTATGCAGGTTCCTACCTTCTTCCCTATGTTTCCTTCCTCTCCTCACCCTAACACTTGAAATCACCCTCGAATTTCGATTGGGAACCAATTGTTGCATGTTTGAACCTGGGTTATGATTGAAATTCCGGCGTTGACTCGTCTTGGCTTGGTTATCCTAGGGTTCCCCTTAGAACCGCCTTTGTTTCCGGTGATTGTTCATCGTTGCAGCGGGATTCTATTGTTTCTGAGTATCATGTGGTTTGGGCATATGATCAGGATAGTAGCCTTCCTTCCGGTCATACCAAGAGAATAGATTGCTCTGGTTTGGTTGCTATCCAACTTCTGGAGAATTCACTGATCATATTACTACTATGGACCTAATACGTTATAGCTTCAGGGTCCTTAATCTTTTATCGAAAACGGTGCAATGGTGTTTGTTGCTTAACCTAACTATATTGATTAGATGAGTTCATTGGGATATTCAGTGTCTCCCCAAACCCAAAGCATATTTTATATCGGTTTGTTTGAAGGTAAATTTCTCTGTTGCTTGAGGGCGAGAAATCGTCTTTTGAGTGTCTCGTTTTGAGGGCGAGTGTTAATGCCCTTTCATGTCTTGTTTTGTCTAATTGTGGTGCTATGTGGTTGATTAACTTTTATGTCTGACTTTTGTTGGTTATCTGGGTTCTGAGAGATTGTTTCTGCCTTTGTGGTGGTCTGATGGCAGATGGATGAAGTGTTGTCCTCTGTTGCTGATACATTGAAGAACTTTGCGGTGATATACCTGGTGGACATCACCGAGGTGCCCGATTTCAACACCATGTACGAGCTGTACGATCCATCGACCGTCATGTTCTTCTTCAGGAACAAGCACATCATGATCGATCTCGGCACTGGAAACAACAACAAGATCAACTGGGCTCTCAAGGACAAGCAGGAGTTTGTTGACATTGTGGAGACGGTCTATCGGGGAGCGAGGAAAGGGCGTGGTCTCGTCATTGCTCCCAAGGACTACTCCACCAAGTACCGGTACTGAAAGAGTTCCGCAGCAGGAACTGTGGATTGTTATCTGTACCAGGTGATACTGGACGATTCCTCAAATGCTGTTATATTGCCAAATATTGCTACTGATGTATTGTTGCATTTGAACCAACATGGAATGTTGTAATGATGTCTTTTAATGCTTATGTCATGGAGACAGTCTATCATGGACATCATCTTGTTTCTCGAAACACCTTTTCAAGAGTCCAGTCCTTTGAGTTTGTTACATTATGTGAATACCACATTGATACTGTAGTGTTTCCAATGATATGGTCAGTACAGAACTAGGTTAGGGTTCTCCTTAGCTGGCAACAATGCTCGCATCCGTGAACAGTGGTGATAGTATCGGTCATCATTCGGTTTACGGGTAGTAGACTTTTGGTGCTCAATGCTAGTCATACAAGGCTGGTTACTAGCAACGGTTCTGTTCGCTAGACCTCAATTATATTAGTAGTGTTTGAGGTCTGTGAATGTTGGAGTCTCAGTTACCTGATCTGATGACTCTCCTTTCTTGCTAGCAGTTGATGATGATGATGATGGAAAACCTCGAGTCGATGGCACGCATTATTCCCCCCCCCCCCCCCCCCAAGATTTTAAATTCAGTTTAACTTGACAATGCTCTCTTGTTGTATCCTATACTAAGTTGTGCCTTGCAGGTCAGCTGTTCGAACCACATAGCTGTGCATTTTTTTTACTGCCCACATTATGGGAGGTAGGTCAACAGTTAAACCCACACAGGTGTCTATTTTATGATTGCTTTGTTAATATCTCATAATGCTTCTTAATTCCGTTAAATTTCGGTTTGACATATGGTCAACAGTTCAACCCATACAAGTGTCTATTTTATGATTGTTTTGTTAATATCTCATAATGCTTCTAAATTCCGTTAAATTTCTGTTTGACATATGGTCAACAGTTCAACTCATACAAGTGTCTATTTTACGATTGCTTTGTTAATATCTCATAATGCTTCTTAATTCTGTTAAATTTATGTTTGACATATACAATCTACATTTCCATTGATACATCTAAGATGTCATAACCCTGTGAACAATTTGTTTCAATTCTTCATCACATTTTATTTTTGTTCATTAAATTACATTTTAGTAACAAAACGAAATGCTCTAATCCATAGGTCGTTTGCTTCTAGGATTTTAGAAAATGAGGGATTATGATAAAACCTTGGATTTTGAATATGAGAGATTATGTTGGATTTTGATTATGTTGGATTTTGAAACTTCCATGTTTGTTTGTAGGATTTGGTAATGGCTTTTAGTAGGTTGGAATTATGGCTTGATGGGGGAAATTACTTTCTTATCCTTAATGAACCACTTTTTACTTTACTTGTATTTTGAATGTTTTTGTATATACATGAAGGATTAGCATATGTAAAAATGGCAGCAACATCCATACTATTTGGTCATATTGTATACACGCAAGAAGCCATTAAAGTAAATTGAAACTCTCAACCCAAACCAATAATGTCGAAAGGAAAATCAAGGGTTTGGATTGGATTATAAAAAAAGAGGATGTAAGCATGAAATAATTAATTGTTGAGCTTCATATAAAAGGAAGACAAAACGACGATAGGCAGAGATGGAAAATGTTGCCGGAGCTTTTTGCTGTGTTGCAATCCCTTGGCAACGAAGAGACAAAGTTGGTGAGATGAGAGTGTAGACAAAAGTCCTCAGTAGAGATAATAATAACCGAGGGCAAAATTGGATTACACAAAATGAGTGGGGGTAACACGGTCATTAAACATCATGGATTATATCTATCTTCCAAAATCCTAGCTATAGAGGTAAGATTTTATAATCCATGGGGCCCACGGATTTTAGCTCCAAATAATCCAATATTAGTGGACCCCACAGATTGAAACAAAATCCATTATATGCTAACAAACATGGATTCCAAAATCCAACACCAAAATACCAAAAGCAAACGACCTCGTAGTAATGACTTGTATTCTAGGAGCTTAAAAATTATTATATTTTTTTATAGGTTAAGTATTAATTGAAATAAACCCTTAAAAATCTATTCATTGGTTATTTTTTTTAGTGTTTTTATCCTATTAAGCACACAAAGTAAACAACCATTACATAACTTTGGTTATTTTTTTTAGTGTTTTTCAAGAATTTGCAAACACATTTTTTTATTATGTTATCGTGGAAAAAATTCCCCCCACCCCCCCCAAAATTCAATCCTGGCTCCGTCCCTGTTACCCGTATATATACACTAAGACTAAAATCCTATTAAGCACACAAAGTAAACAACCATTATATAACAGTCCTATTTCTAACTAAAAGCTGTAGCTAGGTCCTTGGAGTACCATACTACCATCTTCGGATAACATAAGATAGAGCGCCCGTGGTGAGTAATTATGGAGCCGTAGAGGATGTCATACTCAACAAATACTTCACTACAACATCTTTGCTAAACCAATACTAATTTAAGTAGTAGTTCCAGTTGATAGTATTTTGTTGCGTAAAAGTTTCCTATGAGGGATCGAAGGAGAGAAATATTTTAAATTTTATCTAAAATATCGAACAAGCACTCCACCGCAGGATTTAACTTCAAAGTAATGAACGATGATAAGAGTGGTTAGTATGGTGCTAACTGTTAGAACAGATTGACAATTTGACAATGCAATAAAGTAAAGAATACACACATTTACGTGGTTCACTAAAACGGTGTGTGTTAGCTAATCCACGGGCAGGAGAGAGCAGTTTGGTTGTACTTGAGAAGATACAAATTAAAGATATTAAGAAGGCATATATATATATATGTATGTATGTATGTATGTATGTGTTACCTTCTCCAGACGGTCTAACCTAATCCCCTTGGAGCGAGATCCCCGTGACTTCTAGTCGACGGCAAATAATTTGTATTCAAATCATAGTAACACTAACTCCTATAGAGTTAGCACTCTATCTCGTCCCTCATGACTCACCTTTTATTAGTTAGGATCAGGTGCTAAACTGGAAGCTTTTGGTGCGAACTATCAAATATCACCAAATAACCTGAGAAGAGAATAATACGACACACCAAGATAACTTGGTTTCCTCAACGATGATGTTCGTTGAGACTATTCCACGGGAGAACTCTGCAATCTCTTATTCAGTTCTCAGTAACCAAGTTACAATCACCGAACCCCACTCCTCCCAGTATATATATCGCCGCACTCCCGAGCCCTAATCCACGACAGAAGTACAAAATATTTACATACGGCTAATTACAATTAGGTACCTAAATCTTGATCTTCTAACACCCTCCCTCAAATTGATGGTGCTGGCGCAACATCAATTTGTGAGCAAGAAACCAATGACGAGCAGAAGCTACCGCCTTGGTTAATAAATCCGCCGTCTGATCCTCTGAAGTGATATAGGTAAGCTCGATGATCCCATAAGTCACCAGTTGCCGTATGTAATGTACATGAACCTCGATGTGTTTAGTACGATCATGAAGAACCGGTTTAGTCGCAATCCTAATCGCACTCGTGTTGTCTGCATAGAGCCGAATAGGAATGCAATACACCACACCAAAATCCGCAAATAAGCGCTGAAGCCACACCAACTCAGAGGTGACCTCACTCCTGGACCTATACTCTGCTTTAGTCGAGGACTTTGCCACCCGCTCCTGTTTCTTGCATCGCCAGGAAACAAAAGAGGAGCCAAACTTCACGCACCACCCAGAGGTCGACCGACGAGTATCTAAACAGCCTGCATAATCAGCATCAGCATACGCCTCCAAGACAGGACTACCACCACTAGGGAAGAACAATCCCACAGTCTGCGTACCCGAACATAGCGCAATATACGCTGAACAGCCAGCCAATGATGGGTGCGCGGAGTAGACATATACTGACTGACCACCTGAACTGCATAGGCAATATCAGGTCGAGTGTGAGTAAGATATATCAGGCTCCCCACTATACTACGGTACATCTTCCCATCCTGAAGCACCTCGCCAGAAGATTGTGTCAACTTCAGATTTTGTTCCATCGGGGTAGCACAAGGAACACATGCATCCATCTGCGCCTCTTATAGGAGATCAACAATGTATTTATGTTGGCAAACATGAATACCAGTAGCCGAGCGATCAAATTCCAGACCCAAGAAATAAGATAACTTCCCAAGCTCCTTGAGGTTGAATGCTTCGCGAAGAGCAACAGTGAGAGATTGGATGCCTTCCTGATCATCACCACTAATAATCATATCATCCACATAAATTAGAAGGACCGTAATACCAAGGCTAGTGCTACGCAAGAAAAGAGAAGGATCATTGGCACTCTGAAAGAACCCAGCGCGCAGAACCGTGGCCTAAAACTTCTCGAACCATGCGCGAGGCGCCTGCTTCAGACCATAAAGAGAACGTCGTAGACGATAAACCATGGATTTATCACCCTTGGCGTAACCCGGAGGCCGCTCCATATATATTGTTTCCTTCAACTCCCCATGCAGAAATGCATTTTTAACATCCAACTGAATTAACGGCCAGTTCTGCATGGCAGCCACGGCAATGAGACTGCGCACCGTTTGCATTTTAGCAACAGGAGCAAAAGTTTCTTCATAATCAACACCGTACTGCTGCTTAAGCCCTTGAGCAACGACCCTAGCCTTCTCTCGTTCAATAGAGCCATCAGGATGACACTTCAGTGCATAAACCCAATTGCTACCGATAACTGTGAACTCAGGACGCCTAGGGACGAGATCCCATGTATGATGAGCTTCTAGGGCCTGAGTTTCTGTGTCCATAGCCGCCTCCCAGCGCTCAAGCCCTTGAGCTTGTTTATATGTGGCGGGAACAAAATGGGAGGAGACCGAAGAGAAGGCAACAAAATCTGAGTGTCGGGCAGGAGGTTGACCCTTTGTCACACGATTCGATCGACGTAGAAGAGGAGCAACCTCAGCCTCAGACTGAGAAGACCTTGAAGAGGAAGTGGAGGAAGCCGAGGAAGCCGAGGTGTGCTCAGGGGATGAGGAGGACTGATCCGAGGAAGAAGAAGATGATGTGAAACCAGGTGGAGTAGGAGGCGGGTCGGTATCATCCGTATCCGGTGAATTGGGGTCAGCAGGGAAGGAGGATAGGGGAGCCAGGAAATCCCATTGAGAATTGTCCACAGGAGTCTCAGAAGCATAGTACGGGGAGTGCCCGAAGAAAACAACATGACGCGAGACGCGGAGACGTCTGGTAGCAAGCATAGCCCTTGTGTTTGTCACTGTACCCAACAAACACACATTTGGCAGCCTTGGGAGAGAGTTTGTGACGCTCTCGACGAGGAAGGAGAACATAACAAACACACCCAAAAACCCGAAGCCACTTATAATCCGGAAGACGAGAGAAGAGAACCTGGTAAGGACTACGCTGATCAAGGACTGGTGTAATCTGGAGATTGATAAGATAAACCACCGTATGAACTGCCTCAACCCAAAATTGAGGAGAAACCCTCGAGTGAAAGAGCAACGCACGAGTAAGCTCAAGAACGTGACGATTTTTACGTTCAACCACCCCATTCTACTGGGAAACCCCAGGACAGGACTGGTGGGGAAGAATTCCCTTCTGACGAAACATGTCTTGAAGAGGATGAGACACAAATTCTCCCCCAGGATCAGACCAGAGGATCTTAATCACCTTCCCAAACTGTGTAGAAACCATCTGGGTAAATTCTTGGGCAACATCAAGTAACTCGGATTTCTGTTAAGAAAGTAGACCCACGTGAACCGAGTCACCTGATCAACAAAGAGAGCAAAATAGCGAAAACCCACTCAAGCAGTGACAGGAGAAGGGCCCCATAGATCTGTGTGAACCAAATCAAAAGGCTCTGCGTACTCAGTCGTACTCAAACCAAAAGATCTCTGTGAAATTTTAGCTTCCACACAATGAATACAGTCATGATCAGGAATCGTACGAACTGTGCCTGATAACCACTTATTCTTAAACATATCAAATAATCTCGACCTATGAGGATGTCCTAATCGATAATGCCACAAATCCCAATCGGACAAGTGGACTGAATAACTAGAGTTGCAAAAAGACAAAGATGAACTGGGCAACAATGATCCATCTGGTAAACTCATATGGCGTGCGACCCCACTGGACAACACAAGCTACCTCCCACGATCAACCGGCTGCCGAGTGAAATCATCAAGCACATACACTCGTCCATGCTTACTCCCTCTTCCGATCTCCTGGC